CCCCTTTCTTTTTTTTTTTGAACAGTGAAATTTGTTTTGTGCCCAAATTATTCTGCAGATCATCAGGATGAAAAGTTATTGGCTGTGTTTGCACAGCCCTTTTTTAAAAAAATATGCTTTCATGACATTATTGTGTGTCGGGTGGTGTCAGGGATATCCAGACCGACAAGTAGGACATTGAATGTTACCTCTCCGGTGGGAAGGGAGCCTGAGATTGTCTAAATTGTGGTCTGTTCTATAGTAAATGCAGATAAAAAAAATTAAGAAAACAAATAAGATGGGGTTCTAAAGAATATGATTGTTTGCTTGCAGGACACCAGGAGAGATGAGTTCTCTATGACAGATGGTGTGGTCAGTGAAGATGGCCGCCTGCAGGTTCAAGGTCATTGAATCTCCAGCCCAAATCCACTGCCACTGTACTTAAGGGAAGAGAAGTTAAAGACTTTCTTCTGCACTTACATTTGGATCACCTAAATCCATGACAGTCATTCAGGCAGTAATGTCTGGACTGGAAACAAGCCATCCTTAAAATATTACAACATACCAAGCTTCTGTGTTTGAATGCAAAACAAATGTATTGTTTGATCTAGAGACTGCACTTATGACTGAACAATATATAATGAAAATAAAATGTAACTTGTAAAACAAAATTGTAGAAAGTCTAAACTTAGTTTCAGAATCATGAAATCTGAGAGTTTGTTATTAACCTCACAGTGAAACAGTGTTGGCAGTATAATTATTTGTTGTTCAGAAGAACAGTGTCCAGTATGTTGGCTGATTTACTTTTTTGCATTTGGAAGTAAAAGTTGGGCTGATTTTGACGCCATTACAAGAAGTGTTGTTAACTATTCTTTTTTAATCATATTGCATTCAGTGTTATATTAATATAAGTGTTGTACTAGAAATTTTGATAAAACAATGTGAAATTCACACAAATTAATTTTTAATTTAGAACTTAAAATGTTATTCTTAGTACTATATACTTGAAATTAATAAGTTGTCGTAACATATTATCTTAAGTAAGCTTTACTCAGTTTTTTGAGGCGAAGAGTTTGAATAGTTTTTTTTGAAGTTCTGGGAAATAGATTGTTACGGAGCCCCGCAAAAGACACTGGAGAAAAAACTAATTAAGAAGAACTTTTGCAAGATTTTGCAAAACCTTTGCAAGATCCCGAATTACTTTGGCAAGATCTCGCAAAAGTTCTTCTTAATTTTTTTTCTCCAATTTGTACAATGGAGCACATTGTACAAACCTGAAATCTGTGTAACTGCTGAGCTGTACGATGGGCAGAAGAACATTTATGATCAGAACTCTTTTTTCTAATACAGCAGGAGTGTATGGGCTGCTTTTGAACTGACACTCAAACATGATTTACAAGTAAACCAGGATTAAAAATGATCAATGATGACACATATGATCTAAGCATGTAAACACAGTTATGACCACCATCATGCACCTGACCAAAGACATGACTTTCTTACAGTCTCATTAACTAAAAAGAAATTGCGTTACAACTGTGACTGCTATATTGCGAACTCTGCGCGCTGAACACTTGACCGCTGATGCAAAGCTCATTTTGGTGCGCTTACTGTGTTTACATCTTCAGGGGTATTCAGAGCTGGGAAAGTTACACACACTCGACTAACAGCTTTAGGTCCATGTCACCATTGTTCATTCTGTTTACATTTCTTTCTCATTTTGAATAACTCAACACTTTATATTTGGAATGAGAGAAGGGGAGGAAAAGAAAACAGGAAATTAAGGAGCAGGACTTCCAATACTAAACCTTTAATAAAGACACTTTATTAACCAACATTACTTTAAAAAAACCCCAAAACCCAAAACAAACCAAGGTTCGCTGCCACGATGCTGGCATAGTTAAAATAGCAGCTCAATAAAATAGTTAATGGTGGAGACTGGCCACCAGGGGAGGCAACCGACAGAGAGGAATGCCCAAGGGGTGCCACTAATTACTCACCCCTGCAGTCTCTCCGCAATCCTTACTTCCACTCTTACTGCAACTTAAAATATTGTGCTATATTTGCTTTTCAGTGTGTACACTCACATGCATGAGAGGGAATTCCACCACAGGTGGAAGCAGTTGTGTCTCCACTAAAGCAAATAAAATTAAATCTATAAATCAAAACACAAAACACCTCAATAAATAATAGAGAAAGAAACAGTAACACACACAGAGACACACACAC